AGAACTGCTCCACAGGGTTTTCAAGGCTGTGACCTTTCAGAAACAGATTACCAGGCCTTTCTTCCAAGGTGCCTCTGGGTGGGTTCGAACCTTCAACATTTCAGTTAGTAGTCTAGTGCTTAACTGATTGCATGAGCCAGGGAATCCTGCAACACTAGGTAACCATTAATCTACTCTCTCTGTCTATGGATTTGCCGATTCTGGACATTTCATATAAATGGAACCTTACAGTATGTGGTCTTTTGTGTTTGGCTTCTTTCACTGAGCAAAATGTTTTTAAGGTTCATCCACATTGTAGGGTATTTTGGTACTTCATTTTCTTATATTGAATAATATGATAGTGAATTGAATAATATGATAATGATCAATATTCCATTGTATGGATATGCCATATTTTATTTATACATTCATCTGTTGATGGGTAGTTGGGTTATTTCCACTTTTCGGCTATTGTGAATAGTGCTGCTGTGAACATTCATGTACAAGTTTTTGCGTGGATCTATGTTTTCAATTCTCTTGGGTCTATTCGTAGGAGTGGAATTGCTAGGTCACATGGTAATTCTATGTTTAATTATTTGAGGAACTGCCAGACTATTTTCCAAAGCAGCTGCATAGTTTTTCTTTCTCAATAGCAGTGAATGAAGGTTCCAGTTTCTCCACATTCTCACCAACCCTTGTTACAATCTGACTTTTTAATAACAGCCATCCTACTGCATGTGAAGTGGTATCTCATCATGGTTTCAATTTGCATTTCCCTGATGGCTACAGATATTTAGCATCTTTTCATGTTGGCTATTTGTATGTTTTCTTTGGAGAACTATCTATTAAGATACTTTGCCTATTTTTAGTCCGATTATTTGTCTTCTTATTGAGTTGTAATAATTTTTTAGATATTCTAGATCGATGTTAGAGATAATGATATATAAAAATTTTCTCCCATTATGTGGGTTGGGAGGGAACCCTGGTGGTGAAATGGCTAAGCACTTGACCACTAATCGAAAGGTTGATGATTTGAACCCACCAGCGGCTCTGCTGGAGAAAAGACCTGGCGACCTGCTCCCATAAAGATTCCAGCCTAGGAAACCTCAATGGCAAGGAGTTTGGTTTTTTTTGTTTCATTTTGTTTTTAATTTCCTACAGAATCGTTGGCTGTTCTCTTTATATCTCTGTTTCTTTTGTAAGTAACTCACTTTGTTTTGTGTAAGAAAAAGTTCCCAACCCATTTGTTGTTGTTGTGTGCCTTCTAGTTGATTCCGACTCATAGTGACCCTATATGACAGAGTAGAACTGCCCCATAGGGTTTCCAAGGCTGTAAATCTTTACAGAAGGAGACTGCTGCATCTTTCTCCCGCAGAGTGGCTGGTGTTTTCGAACCACTGACCTTTTGGTTAGTAGCCAAGCACTTAACCACTGCACCACCAGGTTACCAAACAAGTGGCTATTCTAACGTGCAACCCCAGGGGTGCCATTGCAGAAACTATGCCCCATCTGAAGTGGGCAGCTCTGCTTCTCTATTTTTCCATGTAGGAAGGTGGAGTGGAGTTCCTGGGTGGTGCAAATGATTAGCGTGCTCAGCTGCTGACTGAAAGGCTGGAGAGTCAAGTCCGCCCAAAGGTGCCTAGGAAGAAAGGCCTGGCAATCTACTTCCAAAAAAACTAATCCTTTTTTGTTGCTCTCTTTGTGCCTATCAGACACTCAAATACCTCTCCTCCCCCTCCAGATGCTGTGCTCCATCATCGCTGGGGTGCTGCACTACCTCTACCTGGCCTCCTTCACCTGGATGCTCCTGGAAGGCCTGCACTTCTTCCTCACTGTCAGAAACCTCAAGGTGGCCAACTACACCAGAGCAGGCAGATTCAAGAAGAGGTTCATGTACCCTTTTGGCTACGGGATCCCAGCTGTGATTGTAGCTGTGTCTGCAGGGCTCAACCCCCAGGGATACGGCACACCTGTGCAGTGAGTGTAGTGATGCAGAATATGTACACACTTGTCTCCAGGTGATACCAAGGGGAGGAAGGATAAATCAGATTGATACTGACAAGGCTGATGACAAAAATGCTGACCATATAGTGTGTCAGCCATATATGAAATGCTTCATATACATCATTTCTCTTTATCCTCAAATCAAACCTAAGAGAATTCTATAGAAGAATCATGATCAAAAGGGGGGAAATGTGGAACAGAACTCAAATTCTTACAGAATCCAGACTTTCTGGAGCAATTGAGACCGGCTGATCCCCCCAAAACTGTTGCCCTGAGGAAATCTTTAAACCTTGTACTGAAACTATCCCCTGAAATCATCTTTAAACCAAACAGTAGCTTAATTAGAAAAGAACGTCAACCTTGAGCATTGTGTTCCTTTAAAGAATTATCTATATGTGATCAAATTGACAACAGCAACTCGAAAGGTTAGATGAGAAGCTTAGGGGGCAGTGAATTTGTGTTAATGGTGGTGAAATAGTTTGGAAAACTATATTGAGAAAAGTGGCACAACTTGAAGAATGTAATCAATGTCCCCAAATCGTACATGTAGAAATTTTTGAATTGGTGTATGTTTTGCTGTGTATATTTTCATACACACACACACAAACCCTAAGAGGGAAGTACCCTTATTACCTCCATTCATCAGCTAAAGAAACATGATCAGAGAAGGGTGACCAGCTTGTCCAAGGTTACACAGATAATAAACTTGAAAGAACATGGATTCCGGAATGAAACAGCCTAGGTTCAAATTCAAGGCCCCCCACTTATTAGCTAGGTGATCCTGAGGAGATTAATCTCTTTCTTAATTTTTCTCATCTGTAAAATGGGGGTGTTTTGGATTAAATTGTGTCCCCCCAAAACAAGTGTTGTAAATCCTAACCCCTAGATCTGTGAATGTAGTCCCATTTGGGAAAAGGACTTTCTTTGTTATATTAATAAGACCATCTCAGTGTAGGGTATGTCTTAAGCCAATCACTTTTGAGATATAAAAAGAGCAGATTAGGCACAGAAGCAAGGAAGCACAAATGGAGAAAGATCTCCAAGGAGCCAAGGAAAAGAAGCTGAAAGAGACAACGACCTTCCATGAGAGCAGAGAGAGAGCCTTCCGCTAGAACCAGTGCTGTGAATTCAGCCTTCTAGCTTCCTAAACTGTGAGAAAATTCATTTCTGTTCATTAAAGCCACCCCCTTGTGGTATTTCCATTACAGCAGCACTAGATAACTAAGACGTCACAGCATTTAGACTAGTAGCTGACACAAGTAAATGTTATATAAATGTTATATTATATATCACTTATTTTCAAATACCACTTTAATAAGTGCTACTACTATTATTTTCTTTTCCAGTTGCTGAATTAACCTACAAAAGGATTTCTGTGGAGTTTCATAGGACCCATATCTGTATTCATCTTGGTAGGTTTGTAGTATCTGTGTTTTCTACATAATTTGAAGATCAATATGGGTACTAAAATGATTTCTTTCTACTTTAAGATGGCAGATGTGTGAGCATATTTTATGCTGATAGAAATAGAGGACGATCTCTACGTGTCCCTAGTACCTGGCACATCATAGGTGCTGTTATGGATTGAACTGTGTCTCTCCCAAAATATGTGTTGCAATCTTAACCTCTAAACCTGTGGAAGTGATCCCATCTGGGAATAGGGTTTTCTTTGTTATGTTCATGAGGCCGTATCAGTGTAAAATCAAAAAAACCAAACTTGTTGCCGTCGAGTCAATCCCAACTCATAACAACCCTATAGGACAGAGTAGAACTGCCCCATAGGGTTTCCAAGGAGCCACTAGTAGATTCTAACAACCGACCTTTTGGTTAGCAGCCGAGCACTTAACCACTGCGCCACCAGGGTGTGTCTTAAACCTAATCACTTTTGAGATATAAAAAGAGCAGATTAGACACAAACAAGCAAGCACAAAGCGGGGAAGACAAAAACACAAATGGGGGAAAGATAGATGCCACCTGGAGATCACCAAGGAACCAAGGAATGCCAGGACTAGAGAAGCTGAGACACGGGCCTTCCCCCAGAGCCGACAGAGAGAGCCTTCCCCTAGAACTGTCGCCCTGAATTCAGATTTCTAGCCTCCTAAACTGTGAGAACTGGTGGCGCAGTGGTCAAAATGATCGACTGCTACCCGAAAGGTCGGCAGTTCAAAACTACCAGCCACTCTCCAGGAGAAAGATGTGGCAGTCTGCCTCTGTAGAGATTTATAGCCTTGGAAACCCTATGGTGTCACTCTGAATCGGAATCCACTCCATGGCAGTGGGTTAAACTGTGAGAAAATAAATTTCTCTTCTTTAAAGCCACCTACTTGTGGTGGCACAATGGTTAAGTGCTTGGCTGCTAATCTAAAGTTTGGTGGTTCGAATTCACTAGTGGTACTGCAGGGGAAAAGACCTGATGATCTGCTCCTGTAAAGATTACAGCCTGGGAAACCCTATGGGCAGTTCTACTCTGTCCTATAGGGTCACTATGAGTCAGTCAACTCAACAGCACACAGCACCAACAGCAACAATCTTATGACTAAGGAATCCTGGTGGTACAATGGTTAAGCACTCGGCTGCTAACCAAAAGGTCAGCAGTTCGAACGTACCCAGAAGCACTGTAGGAGAAAAGACCTGGTGATCTGCTACCGTAAAGATTACAGCCTAGAAAACGCTATGGGGCAGTTCAACTTTGTTACATGGGGTCACCATAAGTCAAAAGTCGACTTGAAGGCATTCAACAACAACAATGTTATGACTCTGTCATTTCAACATGTAGACCTCTTGGTTGCTTTTGAAGAGGAAGCAAGCTGGAACGCTGTATAGACTTGAGGTACACATCACTGACCCCAAAATAGCACTGGTTAGAACTCAGCTACATGTCCCAGATTATCTGCAAGAGAGGCTGGAAAATGTCTGCCTATATGCCCATGTGCCGGGGAAGAGGTGGCGATGGTGAGATCGCATTGCATTGTCCCTTTCCCACCTGATCATTCACCCACAGTTCTTTTGTAGACCTACAGGAGCCCTCAGTGGCATTTTAAAAATATCTACAGTCTGGGGTGGGGCAGATGCTTAACATGCTCACCTGTTAATTGAAAGGTTGAAGGTTCAAGTTCACCCAGAGGTACCTCAGAAGAAAGGCCTGGCTATCCATTTCTGAAAAATCAGCCATTGAAAACCTTATGGAGCACAATTCTACTGACACACATGGGGTCACCATGAGTTGGCATCAACTCAATGGCAACTGTTTTTTTTTTTTTCAATCTGCCGCAAACAAGTCTCAACATATTCTAGCCATAGAGCCCATGCATTTTTTGATGATTTTCTATCATTCTCTATTTTAACTGTCCATATTGGCCTACAGGTGTCTATATTTTGTTTTCTTCCCTCAGATAAACCTAACCTTTTGTTTGATAACCCTATGGATTTTGAGAGTCAGAGTTTCTTCCCTCAATAAAGGAGTGTCCAAGATTCAAACCACAAGGTAAGAAGGTCTTGAGTAGTTACAAGGGTTTAGCATAAATTGTATTTCTATAGGATAAGTTTTCCCACACAGGTGATGCATTATGGATCTTCCAGATATCCAAGAAACCGAGTGTGTATATGGGGAGGGAGGGATGGAGAGGTGGAGGTAGAAAGGGGGAAGGAAGTGTTACTTAGAATACTTAAGAATAACTGAATGTTTTGATCAAAAATTCTATAGAAGAATCCTGATTGAAAAGGGGGACAATGTGGAACAGAATTTCAAATTTTCATGGAATCCAGACTTTCTGGAGCCATTGAGGCTAGATGAACCCCTGAAACTGTTCCCCTGAGATAATCTTTAAACCTTAAACTGAAAATATTCCCTCAAGTCTTCTTTAAAACCAAATAATAGCTAAATTAGTAAAAAATGTCTGCCTTGAGCACTGTGCTCTTTTAAAGACTATATGGGATAAAATTGACAATGGCAATTCAAAAGGTTAGATAGGTTAGATTTATGTTAATGGGGGAGGAAAAACTCAGAAATGGACGGTGAGAATGGCTGCACAACTTGAAGAATGCCATCAGTGTCACTGAATTGTACAGGTAGAAATTATTGAAATGGTTATGTTTTGCTGTGTATATTCTCAACAACAACAAAAAGTAAAATAAATTTTTTTTTAAAAGTCAGTGCCTACTATACCAGGCACTGTATTAGAGATGTATGAAGTACATATACTTATCCCATTTTTTAAATATGGGCATAACAAATTGTTCCAGGTGACAACAACCTACATATTAGGGAATGATGTCAGCTTTATGTAAGGATTCTTCCTTTTTCCTTTGGGTTCCTTTAAATCAGGATTGGCAAACTATAGCCTGTGAACCAAATCTGGCCCACCTTCTGTTTCTGTACAGCCCACAAGCTAAAAATAGTTTCTATCCTTTTAAAAAATAATGATTTTATTTGATACTGGACATATTTCTTGGTGTTTTTACCATCAATACTCGTATTGTTACTATTCTTAATACTTTTACTTTCAACCAGAGAAAGTTGTTGTTGTTAGATGCTGTCAAGTCAATTCCGACGCATAGGGACCCCATGTGCAGAATAGAACTGTCCCATAGGGTTTTCTAGGCTGTAATCTTTACAGGAGCAGATGGCCAGGTCTTTCTCCCATGGAGCCACTGGGGGGTTTGAACAGCCAACCTTTCAATTAGCAGCCAAGTGCTTAACTGTTGCGCCACCAGGGCTGTAGTTTCTATACTTTTTAATGGTTAAAAAAAAACAAAAGAAGAATATTTTATGACACATGAAAGTTTTATGAAATTCAAATTTCAGTGTCCATAATAAAGTGTCATTGGAGCACAGATACATTCATTCATTTACATATCATCTATGGCTGCTTCCATACTACAATGGCCGAGCTAAGTCGCTGTAACAGAGACTATGGCCTGAAAACCCAAAAATATTCACTACCTGGCCCTTTACAAGGAGTCCCTGGGTGGCGCAAACAGTTAAGTGCTCAGCTACTAACTGAAAGATTGGCTGTTTGAACCCACCCAGAGGCGCCTCAAAAGAAAGGCTTGGCAATCTGCTTCTGAAAGGTCACAGCCTTGAAAGTCTTATGGAGCAGTTCTACTCTGCTCTGGTTTGGTTTTTAGTTTTGGCCCTTTCCATTAAAAAATGACTAACCCCAGCTTTAAAGAACAAGGTATGCATTAATGGACCTATTTAAGTATAAGTTTACATGCAACCATGCAAAGAGTTAAATGCAGAGAGTTGACTAGTAAGTTAGAAACTACTATCAAATGAGCAATTTAAATTAAAATTATGTGTATTTTGAAATGTTAAAAGTAACGAGATGCCACTCCATTTGTAAAGACTCATATTCAAGGGACATTTCTAGAAAATAAACACCAAACCAAGAACCAAACTCATTGCAGCCATCAGGTCGATTCCGACTCTTGACGACTCTATGGGTTACAGACTGCAACTGTTTCACAGGGTTTTCTTGGCTGTCATATTTAAGGGGAATCCCTGGGTGGTGCAGATGGTTAAGCCCTTGACTACCAGCCCAAAAGTTGGTGGTTCAAACCCACTCAGAGGCGTTTCAGAAGAAAGCTCTGGCGATCTGCTTCCAAAAGGTCACAGCCTCACAAATGCTATGGAGCACAGCTCTCCTCTACACAAATGAGGTCACCATGAGTCAGAATTGGCTCTGTGGCAACTGACAACAACAAATCTTCAAGGAAGCAGATCACCAGGACTTTCTTCCATGGTGCCACTGGGTGGGTCCAAACCACCAACCTTTAGGTTAGTAGTTGAGGGCAAACCATTTGCACCACCCAGGAACCTAGAATAAGCACACAATGATAGCCACTGTTTCCTTATATCAACTATATCTTCACTATTGATTCTTGCTCAAATATTTCATTTATTACCATAGTTTCCCCAAGTCTACCTGGCTTGAGAAAATTTGGCCAATAATTGCAAAGGAAGGTAAATGAATTCCTGCAGGAAGGACAAAATAATGTTCTGGAAAGAAGATGTTGAGGTTAGTGACTCTCTGTGTTGGTTTTACCAGGATGCTGACGTTTAAAGCTATGGCTCAGCTCTTGCTCTTGGGCTGCTCCTGGTGTCTGGGCTTCTTCCTTGTTGAGTCAGTAAAGGAACCATTCAGATCGGTCACCGCCTATGCGTTCACCATCATTAATGTCCTGCAGGGAGTCTACATCTACATCATCCACTGTCTCCTCAATCGGCAGGTAACGTATACCTTGTGTCTGCTTCCCAGCTGTCACATGTGCGGTCCGCCCCCATCATTTGCACAGACTAATCCTCTCCTCAAGGGAGGCAGTGGTGGCTCAGTGGTAGGATTCTCGCCTTCCATGCAGGAGACCCGGCTGTAATTCCCAGCTGACCCACCTCATGTGCAGCCACCACCCATCTGTCCGTGGAGGCTGGTGTGTTGCTATGATGCTAAACAGGTTTTAGCAGAGCTTCCAGACTAAGACAAACTAGGAAGAAAGGCCTGGTGATCGACTTCTGAAAATCAGCCAATGAAAACCCTATGGAGCATAACAGTCTGATGCCATTGTACATGGGGCCGCCATGAGTCAGCAGTTGACTTGACAGCAGACTAACAACATAGGTGATATATGTTTTATCACTGTATTTTAATTTACATTTACATTATTATGAATGAGGTTATCTTTTCACATATTTAAAGGTCATTTATAATTTCCTTTCTGTGAACTAACCATTACCCCTTTTCCTTCATTTTTCTATTAGCCTTCGGTCTTTTACCCTCTTGATTTCTAGCAACTCTTTACATATTAGGGACATGAGCTCTTTATCTTTGTTATGTCACCATAATCTTTTTCCAGCTAGTTCTTTTCCTTTGGATTTTGCTTGTATGCTTTCTAGCCATGCAGACTTAGACTTTTTTTTCCCCCCCATTAAGTACTTAAGCTCCTAGGCTTGATATTGTATTTTATGCCATATTATTTCCAACCTAAGTCAACTGCATTATGATCTTATCTTTTGTTCAATGCACAAACTTCCTTCTCCAACCTTTTTTGCCCAGGGAGACTGTGTGCTCCTCTGTCTCTATTATTGACTTCTTTTGCATGTGGTTTTTCTCATTATTAAAAAGGTCTCTGGGTGGCACAAACAGTTTGCACTGGACAGCTAACCTAAAGGTAGGCAGTCCAAACCTACCCAGCAGCACTGCAGAAGACAGGCCTGGCAACCTGCTTTCATAAAGATTACAGCCAAGAAAACCCTATGGGGCACAGTTCTACTCTGTAACATGTGGGGTCATCATGAGTCAAAATCAACTCAATGGCAATGAATTTGGTTTTGATCTTCTCATTATTATGCCATTGATAGGAGTAGCAGGCTCATGACCAAGGCTCCTATGACAATGCTTTCTTGCAATTTGACCTTAGCAGGCTCCTCCAGTTGGTCAACCTTCAACTGTGTTCCTGGCTTGTCTCCAGTAGGTGCAGAAATGGAAGCCTGCTAACAACTACTTTCTTCTTTCTCCTGTTTTTCCAAATATTTTCATTGTCATTGTTATTAGGTGCCATCGAGTTGGTTCTGACTCATAGCGACCCTATGTACGATAGAATGAAACACTGCCCAGTCCTGTGCCATCCTCACAGTCGCTGTTATGCTTGAGCCCATTGTTGCAAGTCACTGTGTTAATCCATCTTGTTGAGGGTCTTCCTCTTTTGTGCTGATCCTCTACTTTACCAAGCATGATGTCCTTCTCCAGGGACTGTTTTGGTAGACAGGACTTATCATCTTAAACTCACTAAGATACAACATTCTATTTCTACTAATGGACTGTAGATAACTTATAACTACAGATCACATCTTTACCAACCTAACAAAACCAACAAACAAACCAGTTGCCTTTGAGTTGATTCCAAGTCATGGCGGTTCCATGTGTGTCAGAGTAGAACTGCGCTCCACAGGGTTTTCAGTGGTTGATTTTTTGGAAGTAGATCTCCAGGACTTTCTTTCAAGGCACCTCTGGGTGTACTTGAATCTCCAAACTTTCAGTTAGCAGCCAAGCATGTTAACCATTTGCACCACCCAGGGACTCCTAATCTAATAAATACATTACATATACTTGTGTAATATAACATAGTATGTTTCCCTCCTCTAACACAACATATCTCTCTGCTGAATAATATTATACTACCCAACATGAAGAAGACCTGGAACAGACAACAGATACCGTTCCATGTGGCATTTTTATTTACTTAGTTCAACAGCCATTTAGAAAGGGCTGCTAAGTTAGCCAGGTCCATGGGTGGTGCAGTTTGCACTTGGCTGCTAACTGAAAGGTTGGCGGTTCGAACCAACCCAGTGGCTCCATGGAAGAAAGTCCTGGCAATCTGCTTCCATAATAATTATAGCCAAGAAAACCCTCTGGAGCACAGTACTACTCTGTAACACAGGGGGTTGCCATGAGTCAGAGTGAGTCAACTCAATGGCAACAGGTTTGGTTTGGTTTACTAAATTAGTGGAGTCACGTTGGAAGGTTAGCTCAAAGAAAACTGGCAGTAATTAGCATGCTTACATTAGTTTATCTTGACATATTTTTTAACCCTGTACAAATGAACTTGTTAGTAATTCACTATGTTGTTGTGTGCCATGGAGTCAATTCCAACTAACAGCAACCCCATGTGACAGAGTAGAACTGCCGTCATAGGGTTTCCTAGGCTGTAATCTTTACAGGAGGAGATCACCAGGTCCTTCTCCCACAGAGCACTGGGTGGGTTCAAACCACTGACCTTTCGGTTAGCAGCAGAGCACTTAACCCTTGCACCACCAATGCTCCTAGTTCATCATACCTAGTATCAAAAAAAGACTCTATGTGCACTCTTCGGCATATACATATTTTTAATGTCAAGGGCTTAAGTTCATGGTATATCAGTAACACCCACATTTGTACCTCTCTGCACTTCTCACCTGTTCTTTCTATTCAAAGTCCTCATTTGCATTTTTGGTCACCATCCTTTATGAGGAAGATGCAGTAGGTCTTCCTTAAATAAGGCTCATTTTCCTGAAGCTATTATTTTTATGCAAGATAAAGAAAGTAGTATCAGTTGCTGCTGAAACAACTCTGACCCATGCTGACCCCATGTGTGACAGAGCAGAACTGTGCTCATAGGGTTTTCAATGGCTGAGTTTTTGGAAGTAGAGCGGCAGGTCTTTCTTCCAAGGGGCCTCTAGGTGGATGGATACATTAAATGCCTTTTGAGTGTTGGGTTCATTCATGACGGTGACTATGCCACGGGACCAGGCACTGCTTTTCTCTGTTGTACAGAAAGTCACCAGGGGTTGGAGCCAACACAACAGCAACTAACCGCTACAGCAAGCGTTGGGTTCTGTGAAGATACAGAGCTGAACATGATAGAACCCTGGTCTATCTTTGTGAGCCTAGTTGGAAAGATAAGTATTTGATTGCCATTGGGCTCTGAAGGAAAATGCCGGTACAGTGACGGAATGGAGGGAATGTCCTAATCTAGATCTAGCAGCTAAGGGAAAAACCTTCTCATGGTGGGAGAATTGGAGCACATACCTGAAGAAGGAACAGGAGTTGGTTAGACAATCGGGACTTAGGAGAAGGCAGGGGAGGGGTGAGGGATTGAAAGAAGGGTATCACAAGCAGAGATGAGGAAGAAATGGAATTTGTCAAGGATTTCGTTCTACTTGGATCAACAATCAACATCCATGAAAGCAGCAATCAAGAAATCAAATGATGTATTGCACTGGGCAAATCTGCAAACAACCTCGTTAGTGTTAAAAAGCAAAGATGTCAGTTGGATGAATAAGGTGGGTCTGACCCAAGCCATGGTCTTTTCAATCATCTCATATGCATGCAAAATTTGGACAGTGAATAAGGAAGCCCCAAGAATTGATGCATTTGAACTGTTGTGTTGGCGAAGAACATTGAATATACTGTGGACTGCAAGAAGAATGAACAAGTCAATCTTAGAAGAAATACAACCAGGATGCTCCTTAGAAGCAAGGATGGCAAGACTTTTTAGCTTGCTTACTTTGGATGTGTCATCAGGAAAGACCAATCACTAAAAGAAGACATTATGTTTGGTGAAGTGGAGGGGCAGCGAAAGTGAGAGAAACTCTCCAGGAGATAGACTAACACAATGGCTGAAACAACGGACTCAAGCATACCAACGATCATGAAGATGACACAGGACTGGGCAACATCTCTTTCTGTTATAGGTAAGGTTGCCATGAGCCACAGGTAACTTGACGACAACAACAACAAGCTAGGTGACGTCCTGAACAAAGGCCCTGGGGTAGGACTAAGCTTGGCAGGTGCACTGAGGAAGACAGTTGCTAGAACCTAATGAGGAGAGAGAAGATGTTAGAAGAGGTAGCCACGGTGAGACTGTACAGATTATGTAGATCACTCTAAGGACTTTGAACTTGATTCTAAGAGCCAGAGAAGTTGTTGTGAAAGATTCACAGCAGGGGAAGTAGACGTTGTCCCTTAGAATTGTCTCATTTACTGCATTTGGATTTTCATAGAATTCGGGCTGATATAGAGTATGCCTGGATATTAAATCTCTCTTGGAGGAAACTTTTGGCTCTTAGTTAAACATTTTTTAAAATAAGGAGTCCCTGGGTTGTGCAAACTGTTAACATGCTAACCAAAAGTTTGGGGGTTCCTGTCCACCCAGAGACACCTCAGAAGAAAGGTCTGGTGATCGACTTTCAACAATTCAGCCTTTGAAAAGCCTATGGAGCGCAGTGCTACTCTGAGACACCTGGGATCCCCATGAGTTAGAAGTGACTCATAGCAACTGGTTTGGTTTTGGTAAATGGGGCTCAGGGGCAGTGGTGGTTCAGAGGTAGAATTCTCGCCTTGCATCCGAGAGATCCGGGTTCAGTTCCCAGCCAGTGCACTTCATGCGCACCCACCACTCATCTCTCACAGGAGGCTTGTGTGTTGCTACAATGCTGAACAGGTTTCAGCAGAGCTTCCAGACTGAGGACTAGGAAGAAAGGCCTGGTGATCTACTTCCAAAAAGCAGCCAATGAAAACTCTATGGATCACAACCATCTGATCTACACCTGATCATGTGGATGGCACAGGACCAGGCAGCATTTCTTTCCATTGTGCATGAGGTCACCGTGAGTCAGGGCCAACTCAATGGCAGCTAACAAAATGAACAGGACTCAGAGGACAGTGATTAAAAAATCAGGTCTTATTTTCCATTTAAGTGTTTTTCCTAAGCAAGTATAATCATTTAAATTTTTTCAGGTGCGAGAGGAGTACAAAAAGTGGCTTACAAGGATGAGTAAAAGGAGTGAATCTGAGAGCTATATGCTAGCCAATTCTACCACCCACACCCATGTGGTAAGATGATTCCCTCTCCCAATACCTGCCGTTTCCCAGACTGCTCACATCTGTCTCCAGCTGGTTCTTCTGCTCATTGGTGTTGTTGTTGTTAGTTGCCATTGAGTTGATTCCGACTCATGGTGACCCCATGTGTACAGAGTAGACTGTGCTCCATGAGATTTTCAATGGCTGTGACCTTTCAGAAGCAAATTGCCAGGACTTTCTTCTGAAGCTCCTTTGGGTAGGTATGAACTGCCAACCTTTTGGTTAGTAGTCCAGTGCTTAATCATTTGCACCACCCAGGGACTCCTCTACTGCCCCAGTAGTGATGGAATAACATTGTAGTTCTTGGCATAGAAACCAGTCAGCATTTATGTCAGCTTAGTCACTCCTTGACTGTAAGCACAGCCAGGGCAGGGTGATGGGATACTTCTCCTTGCACTATCTGCACAAGGAATGATTGCTCTCCTTTGAAATTATTCATTTCTATCTGAGTCCACAGAGCCCTAGTGGCGCAGTGGTTAAGAGATTGGCTGCTAACCAAAAGGTCGGCCGTTCGAATCCACCAGCCGCTCCTTGGAAATCCTATGGACAGTTCTGCTCTGTCTTACAGACTCGCTATGAGTCAGAATCAATTCGACGGCAGTGGGTTTGGTTTTCGGTTTATCTGAGTCCAAAGGAGCCCTGGTGGCACAACACTTAAGCGTTCGCTGCTAACCGAAAGGTCAGCGGTTAGAACTCAACGTCGGCTCTGCATGAGAAAAGACCTGGTGATCTCCTCCTGTAAAGATTACAGCCTAGGAAACCCTATGGGGCAGTTCAACTCTGTCACATGGGCTCACTATGAGTTGGAATCAACTCGATGGCGCCTAACAACAATAATAACATCTGTTATTGATCCAGGGAGTCCCTGAGTGGTGCAAATGGCCACTGCACTCAGAAAGGTTGTTCCAACAGAAAGGCTGGAAGTTTGTCTGCCTAGAGGTGCCTTGGAAGAAAGGCCTGGTGATCTAGTTCTGAAAAATCAGCCACCAAAAACACTTCGGAGCACAATTCTGATACACACACATGGGGTCACCATGAATCCGAATCAACTCAAGGGCAATTGGTTTTTGTCTGAGTCCAAACCCTGGAGTTACAGAAACATGAATGAAATTCTCTCTTAGTTAAGTGGTATTGGTCCGTGGCCCCTCAAGGTTGCCAAACAGGGTTCTTTACTGTAGGTTTGCTGTAAGCCTTAAATAGGCTTGTGCTTTGTGAGTCTCCAAGAGAGACCATGGGACTCAGTACTTTCCACACATAATTGTCATGGATCCTTTTTTCTTGTAAGAAATCTTTATGCTTTGTGAAACACTGGTGGCCTAAGAGGCGTTCGTGGTTCAGTGGTAGAATTCTTGCCTTCTATGTGGGAGACCTGGGTTCAATCCCCAGCCAATGAACCTCATGCACAGTCACCACATGTCTGTAGAGGAGGCCTGTGTGTTGCTAGGATGCTAACTATCACAACTAGGAAGAAAGGTCTGGCGATCTGCTTCTGAAATTCAGCCAATGAAAACTCTATGGATCACAATGGTCTGATCCATAACCAATTATGGGGATGGCTCAGGACCCAGCAGTGTTTTGTTCTGTTGTGCATGGAGTCTCTGTGAGTCAGGGGCCAACTCGATGGCAGGTGACAACAACAGGCAGCTGAAAGAACATAACTTAGGAATTGTTGGTATGGACAAAGCAGTACAAGAAGATAAAGATAAACTAAAAAAACAAAAAACTAGCTGCCATCCAGTGATTCCAACTCATGGTGACCCCATGTGCATATGTTACAGAGTAGAACTCTTCCACAGGGTTCTTGGCTGTAATCTTCCTGGGAGCAGACTGCCAGGCCTTTCTTCTGTGGTATTGCTGGGTGGGTTTGAACTGCCAAACTTTAGGTTAGTAGTCTAGTGACAACTGTTTGCGCCACCTAAAGATAAGGCATATGAACTGCCGCCTCCCTTTATTTGATGATTATGATAAAGAGATAATGAATGAAGGGATATATAAGATGGGTTTCACTGAGATTTAAGAGTAGAAGACTTGGGGAAACATTGGGATCAGGCCCTTCATCTCTGAGACAGGGGGACCAGACTTCAGCATCCTTAAGCTTATTTTCAGATCTTTGATTTCGTGAACTACAAAGAGTAAACTTAAATACATTAAACCTAGAAGGAGAAACACTTAAACTCTACCTGGGGTCCATTCCTTATGAATCTCAGCCTTTTGCTATAATTTCAGAAATAACCTTAATTAATTTCAATTCTCTTTATTTGCCTCCCACAAACTCACATATGGAGATGGAAAAATCATCCAATTTGTTTGGAAAAAGAAGAAACAGTTCAGTCTGAAAATTACGAGCTGCTCCACATTGTCAGCTGACTTCATCTTCTGGTTTTGAAAAGGGAAAAGAATCAGCCATATTACACAAACACGAGTAACAACTGTTTGTCTGTACTATAGAATTAATAGCAGAAAGTGTGCTTTGGGTGAATTATATATTTTGTACAATGTTACACTTACAGCCTTCTTTTTTTAACTGAAGTATTTCACACACAAACACACAGCTCTTCAAGTGCAGTTTGATGATTTTTGCAAAGGTATATATACCTGTGTAACTGTCAACTGTATCAATCAAATCAATATATCAAATCACGATTTCCATCAGTCCTAAACATACCCTCATACTCTTTTCCAGGAGCCCCCAAGACCCCAACTCAGAAGCAATTGTTCTCATTTCTATTACAGTAGATTAATTTTTACAGTTCTTGAAGTTCATATACATGGAATCATAGAGTATATATTCTTGGTGTTTGCCTTCTTTTGTCCAACTTTTATCTGAACTTCATCTATTTATGCATATATTAATAGATTGTTCCTTTCAATTGCTGAGTAGTATTCCACTATATCACTATACTATATCCACGACTTGTTTAACCATTCTCCTGTTGGTGAACATTTGGGTTATTTCCAGTTTGGGGCTATTATGAATAAAGTTGCTATGAACATTCTTATATAAAATTTTTGGTGGCCACATGTTTTTATTTTTCTGGGTAAATACCTAGGGGTGGAATTACTGACTCATATGGTAGGTGAAGGAGCCCTAGTGGCACAATGGTTAAGCGCTTGGCTGCTGAGAGGTTGTCAGTTTGAACCCACTAGCCACTCCCTGGGAGAAAAGACCTAGCAATCTTCGCCCATAAAGATTATAGCCTAGAAAACCCAATGGGGCAGTTGTATCTGTCCTATAGGGTCACTATGAGTTGGAATTGACACAACAGCACACAACAACAACAAAACATGGTAGATTAATCATCAACTTTAAAAGAAACTGCCAAACAGTTCTCCAAAGGGATTATAATAGTTTATACTCTCACCAGGGATACAGAGGAGTTCCAGTTCCTCCACATCCTCAACAACACTTGGAATTGTCGATCCTTTGATCTTTAGCCATTCTAGTGGAAAAGAAGAGGTATCTTACTGTGGTTTGAAACATGGTGAGCACCTTTCCATGTGTCTCTTGGCCATTTCCATGTCATCTTTTGTGACATGTTAAAGTCTTTTGTCTAATTCTCATTTGGGCTGTTTGTAAATTCAGCATACTGCTGGATACAAGCATTGAGAATATTTTCTCATAGACTGTGAACAGCATCCTATTTTATACAGTATGCTTTGCTCTGTTTTAGCTCTCATTGAAATGTGGACTTGGTCCTAACATTATAGCACAACTATTGTCTGTGTAGGAGCCCTGCTGGCACAGTGGTTAAGAGCTCAGCTGCTAACCAAAAGGTCAGCAGTTCAAATCCATCAGCTGCTCCTTGGAAACCCTATGGGGTAGTTCTACTCTGTCCTATAGGGTCACTATGAGTTGGAATCGACTGGATGGCAACAAGTTTATTGTCTCTGTGTGTGATACAAGGTAACAAATGCAGGGTACAGCATGCTATATACTTCAGTTTAAGTTCAACATGTGACACTAACATCATGGTTGAGATTTTAAAATGGAATAATATAGTTGTGGACAATTGTTAGATGCCTCCTAACATCCAAGTTCTCGTTCTTCCACTTCTTCCACCCAGATTTTCGAGTGGAGAGTTACTTTCTCCTCACTGTGTAGAAGAGATGTGGTTTGGATATGATTAATCCGACTCTTTTCCCCAGGCGGGAGCTCTTTTGGTTTAACCCAATCAGAATCTGCCTTTCCATCTATGCAGTGAATGAGCCAAGAGCAAGCATATGATCCAATGTGGGCAATGGAAGAGGAGAAAATATGGGTAAATTCCATGATTTGTGCAGAAGATATAAAGGCCACAACTTATAGAGGCCAACATATTCTTGTTTTTGCTAAAGCCAGTTTCCAAGTTTGGTTTTCTGTTGCTCATAGCCAAAGAAGCCCAAGTTATACAGTGATATTTTAATTGATAATAGTTTATAGGGACATCAATGGTTCTACCTTTATGATAAGAGTCAACAGTGAGACTGATATTATTTTATCTATTCGGTCTATCCTTTCCTTGTTTGTCTAGTCTTTTCAGCCTCACTATCTGTACACCCAGTCTACCCATTTATCCATCAACCCTGTCCCTTCATTCCTCCAACTTATATCTTTGTCCATTTCCTCCCTCCCTTCCTCCCTCTCTTCATCCATTAATCTCTCTTTGCTTCCCTCCATCTTGTCCCTTTGTCCATTCCCTCTCCCTCCGTTCAGTCACCCATTTCTTTCCATCTTTTTTACACTCACTCTCTCCATCCACCTATCCATCCATCCATCCATCCATCCATCCATCCATCCTAGCCCTTCATGTAACAAATGCTTTTCTTTGGCATATTACACTTAAAAATCCAACAAGGATGTACACATACATACCAATATAATTATAAATAGATGCAACAATCCTAAATGCAAATTTACTCCCAAATGTCTCATAAAAGAACAGCACACCATGACCAATTAGGGGTTTCCTGGTAATAAATGTCCAACCATATTAATGAAATCTAAAATGAATAGTTAAAGAACAATCACTTCAACAGAAATCAATAATATTTTAACCAAATCTTGATGAAATTCTCAGCAATCTAGAAATGGAAGAAAACGTGTTTAATTTGAGAGGAGTATGATCCAAATATGTAAGATCCCTGGTGGCACAGTGCTTAAGCACTGGGCTGCCAGCCGAAAGATCAGCAGTTCGAGCCCACCAGCTGCTCCAAGGGAGAAAGATGTGGCGGTCTGCTTCAGTAAAGATTACAGCCTTGGAAACCCTACGGGGCAGTTCTGCTCTTACAGGTCGCTATGAGTTGGAATTGACTTGATGGCAATAGGTTAGGTTATGATCCAAACATGTACTGTTGTTGTTGTTTATTGCCACTGAGTCAATTAGGTGCACTACAGCCCTCAGCCATCCAACTTTTCAACCCTGAATTTCATTTTGTATTCTTTTTTGTGGTCGTTCCTCACATTAAATCTACTGTTGAATTCTGCTATTCTTGCTTTACTGTGTTGGTACCAAAGCCAAACCAAACCCGTTGCTGTTGAGTTGATTCTGACTCATGGCGACTCCATGTGTGCAGAGTAGAACTGCTCCATAGGGTTTTCAAGGTTGTGACCTTTCAGAAGCAAATCGCCAGGCCTGTCTTCAGCACATTTGGGTGGTTCTGAACTGCCAACCTTTTGGTTAGTAGTCCAGCATTTAACCATTCATGCCACCCAAGGACTCCTAAACATGTACCACAAACACCATATTTGATGGTGAAAACACTAGCAGCTTTCCTACTAAAAATCAGAAGCAATAGATGGATGTTCACAATCAACACTACAAGTAACATCATATTAGCAATATAAACAGAAAAAGAAATAAGAGAGATCAAGAACAGGAAAGAAGAGATAAAGGTGCCATTACAAAATCATATGCCTTAAAAGAGAACCAATCTACAAAAATATAGGAACTAACAAGTTAGGTCAAGATTGATATACAAGAAATAATACTTTCCTTATGCAACATAAATCACCAGTTTGGAAATGTGGCAGAAAAAAAAATTTCCCTTCACAGTAGCAACAAACCCTACAAAATACTCAGCATTAAATATGACAAGAAAATTTATTAATCTTACATATAAATGCATATAAAGCATTAATAAAGATTATGAATAAAGATTAAATGGAAACATAGAGCAGATCCCCCCAATGGGATAACCCATTATTGCAAATATATCAGTTATCTACCAAATTAATTTATAAATCCAATACATTACCAGTCCAAATTCAAGAGTTTCTATGACTGCATTGGACAAGCCAATTCTAAAGGCCATGTGAAAGATAAATTCTGCAAAAATAGCCTCAGGAATACTGTAAAAGGCAACAATGTGCTACCAGCTATCAAAACAGACCATTAAAACAGTATGGTATTTGTTCAAGAGAAAGATTTAAAAAAGAAAAGAAAAACATTAGGGAATCTGGAGACAGTCACTATGTAAAAATTTAGGATATTAAAAAATTGATTTTCAAACTGATTAGAAAATAAGGGATATTCCATAAATGCTCTTGGATCAAGAGAACCATGGTTAGAGGAAAGGAATGTTTATGATGTCTACCAAGCAAAGTAGGAAAAAAAGAAGTGAAAAAGCCAAGTTGAACAGTATATAAACGTGGCTACTATTAACATAGTAGGGTCTCTGGATGCCTCAAAAGATTTGTAGTTGCTAATCTAAATTGAACCCATCCAGCGAGGCTGCAGAAGAAAAGCTTAGTGATCTGCTTCTGTAAAGATTATTTTTGTTAGGTGCTGTCGAGTCGATTTCGACTCAGTGAGACCCCATGAGACAGAGCAGAACTTCCTCATAAGGTTTTCTAGGCTGTAATCTTTATGCAAGGAGCCCTGGTGATTAAGTGATTGAAAGGTCAGCCGTTCAAACCCACCAGCAGCTCTAGGGGAGAAAGACCTAGCGATTTTCTCCCATAAAGATTACAGCATTGGAAACCCTATGGGACAGTTCTACTCTGTCACATGGGGTCTCTGTAAGTCGGAATCGACTCAGCATCACACAACAAGAATCTACGGAAGCATTTCTCCCACGGAGCTGTTGGGTGGGTTTGAACCACCAATCAGTTATTAGCTGAGGGCTTAATCATTGTGCCACCTGAGGTCCTTTCCGTAAAAATTACATCCAAGAAAACCCTGTGGAGCACAATTCTACTCTAACACATGGGATCACCATGCGTCAGAATCGATTCGATGGCAACAGGTTTGGAGTGATTTTGGTACCAACACAGTAAAGCAAGAATAGCAGGCTACATCAGTAGATTTAATATGAGGAATAACAACAAAGAAAAGAATCCAAAATAAAATTCAAGGTTGAAAAGTCGGATGGCTGAGGGCTGTAGTGCCCTGACCCTATTAAAAAGAAAAATGAGTGGCCTGCTAATTGAAGAAAGCTAAATCACACTGGATTGTTATCTAATACCTGACAGCAAGAATGATATAGCTTTGTCTTCAGACCTTCTATTTATTTTGGGAAACACGTGAGTTCAAACTTATAAGTTTTATTGTCCCCAGAATGTGTTTTATTACCCTTACCCCATACACATTTTTCCTATCAGGCTTTATCAGAATTATGTAGCACTTTGGGGCAAAGATGCAGCCTAGCAGCCCCACACTGGAGGTCAAGATGGAGAAAATCTCCACGGCCACCGTGGCTTCCCCTTGGTGCGTGGTAGATGAGGAGGAAAGTGACCCAGACACTGCAGAACACCAGCATACTGAACGTCAGGAACTTGGCCTCACTGAAGGTGTCAGGCAGGTTCCTGGCCAGGTAAGCCAAGGAAAAAGTCCCCAGGGCCAAGGACCCCAGGTATCCCAGGACACAGAAGGCAGTGACTGAGCCCTTGTTGCACTCAGTGATGAGGTTTCTGGGTTCAGAGTGTGTCTATGTCAATGAAAGGGGAAGAGGTCCCCAGCCAGATCCCAGATAATCACTTGGAT